GCGTGGGCAGAGCTTAGCTTCACAAGATCGGGTTTACCAATTCCCTCAAGGCAATGGCAACAACCAGAACAAGATCTCAACGGGGTCCGCCGGGTGCGCAAAGCACATTTGGAGCCACTCTTGGCTTCGAGCTCTAGGATCTGCTATGATCATGGCATAAAGGTTGTAGATGCCTTGGAAGCACTGGCTGGGAGGCCCTGGCAAGGCAGCCGCATTGAGAGGCTGCAGACTGACAGCCCGAAGCTCGCATACGTAGAGCTGACACGCTGCTCGGTCGTGGATGTTTTACAAGTGTGCAGACTTCAGCTGCCTGGCAGTGGCGCATCGTGCCTGACCTTTCGACAATACTCGTACAAGCGGCGTACATGTGGCTACCGGCAATTGGATTTATTGATACGTGCTAAAAAATATGAAAAGTTGGGTCAAGGGTGCGCACGCATGAGAAATGATTCCCCGCAGAATCCGAGGCTTGCGGCCCATGTGCTTAGATTCGTGCTTTCCACACGGTATCTTCTGACACCCCTCGAAACTTGGGATCCCCCATCCAGAAACTGAACAGAAATGTAACACTTCCATATGCCTCCACGACAAAGCCTGAATCCTAAACCCGAAAAAAAGTGCGTCTTTGTCATGGCCTCACTGAAATCGAGGTTGACGAGTCCCTTCTTGCATGGGACCTGAAGCTGTTTCCACCCAGCATGGTCTCATCGTAGCTGCTTGCGTTGCACATCGTTGCACATCCTTGCACATCGTTGCACATCCTTGCACATCGTTGCACAATGGCTCATGTCATGGTTGTTCAAGGGTCAGGTGAGTCTGGTGAGTCTCCAACTAGCTATAGAATGAGAAGGCAGACTTTGATCATGCGATCGAAAGTACGGGCCACTGCGGACATATGTGCCTGTCAGAAAAATACTCAGCTTCGGAACGCCTAGTTTCACGTGTCTCGATGCAGCACAGCTTCTTTACCGATGCTATTGGAAACTGCTCGGGGGAAGTGGCCGTTGCTGGACAGTCGTGGTGCACTAATGCAGAATTCTGACTCTAAACTCCGCACATTGTTGCAATCACAATGCAGTACTCTGAGTGCGCCGCCTCAGCTTTCGTTAACTTCTGCACGCCCATGGTTGGCGCTAATCTCTCTGCCTTCAGAGGTCCAGGGCTTATTCGTGTTGCTGAAGAGGCATGGCAGTGGCGGCCATTGATGCAAGGAGTACAGGCGGATCAGCAGGACATCATCACAGCATCCCGGAAGACCTCTAGCGGTGCAAGACCACACTGTTCAAGTGCGCAAATCAACCGAAACCAGGGGCATCTGCCTTCCCTTTCACATTCGTACGAAAGTGCAAGCTTCAGGTCATGGAGGTCGGGTGATGGTGTTGAGGACCGGAGCGGGCTTGGGATGGGGCGAGTCCTCACATGTGTGCCTCTGGCTTTGGCCCTGATTGCAAGACAGTAGCGCCAAAGCGGCCGTGAAAGATGACATGTTTCATCGGACACGACAACTTGTTGCTGTTGATGTCAACCATTCCCTTTCAGCACCGCGCCGGAAGGTGCTCCTTTAGGGAGTTCTCGCACAGCCAGAGAAAGGCCTGAGATCTCGGCTGATGCATGCTGATGCCACTCAAGGGAGCGATTTCTGCGCACCATTTCTCTGGGAGGACAGTGAAAGATATAGCCACTATAGCCTGAGGGCCTGAGGCTTGCAGTGAAACACTGAGCTGTAAGTTTAATTCCATTTTGCTTGACTTTTGTGCCGGACCAAGTTCTGAATACACTTGACAAGTGAAGGCTGTCTAAACCTTCTGCCTGGCGGCTGACTTCCCAACGCCATCGAGCCCCAACAGCAGCACCTCTCCGGGTAGAAAGTGCAATGTTCCATGAGCTTCAGTGTGCTGCAGGGTCGACCCCTCCTTCGAATTAATTTGAAATTTCAGCCGTTTGCAGCTCCACATTTGTGACTCGTGAGTCGGGGAATGAATTCTTTTCAGCTCCATTGTGTGCCGTTCTAGATTGTCCTACGACTACGATTGCCACTCTACCTGCCTAGCCTTCTAGGGCTTGCCACTGCCACTTTGATTTTTGCTTTCGTTTTAGATGAGAGCTCATGATTCGAAAGGCTTCTGAGGGCCGTTGAGGCTTGTTTTTGGAAATTCTCAGCTGGCTGCAGGTGAGGTTCTAGGCCTTTTTGGCAAGAGATACAAGTACAAATATGGGGGTTCCAAAAGTAGGGGTATCCTTTTTGGGGTTCCCTTTAAGGGGATGGTATTCTATTTGGGGGTCTATTTTGGGGGTCCCTATTGTCGTAAACTCTCATATAGACATGTGCATAATCCTTTATTGTGTGCTGGCGGCTGGCCACTCGAGGACTTCAAGAGGCCCCAAGCCGACCACTCTGCGTCTTTTGCGGTCTGGCCTGTCGGGTACCAATCATCGTCTGGCGCCGTTCCCGGGTCATCCAAGCCCTGCAAGGTTGGCCAGAGTTGGGCAGGGCATGAGATCGAATCCAAGAGTGAGCAGGCGTTAGGTGCGTTAACCGGAGAGAGGACTGAGAGTGCGGGGCCTGCAGGGCCACACACAGCAAACCATGAACCCCGCGAGGCCGTAGATGCCGGGCAGCCTGTCAAGGCCCGTCTCGGGAGAGTCGCTTTTTGCAGTGCGCTCCTTGCGCATCTTCTTCTCTTAGAAAAAAAAACCCCATTTCCCCCCCTTCTTCGAGAATTAGCCAGGGAAGATCCTGCGGCAGATCTGAGCAGCGGCCCGTCGCACCGCTTCCATCTTTCGACAGCGAAAGCTCTTCGAGCGTCGCTGAGGTCGTGGCGGGGCGGACAAGTGCGGTCTGTTATTGTGCGTGGTATAGCCTCTTACAGGCTACCGAGCCTTCTATCGGTGTACCGTCCTGGCTGGTTGATGAAGCTTGTGCTCGAGCTTGCTTTCCATGCATGCAGAGCGAGTTTGAGCAAGTCTCACCTATACTTCAGTCGAGGCTCAGAGCCCAATCCAGTCACATGGGTGTCCTTCAGGCGCTTGGGATTGTAGGGCTAGATTCTGTGACACCACTTCCCTTGCTGTTGAGCTGCAAGGTCCGATGCATGTCTTTCGATAATCCGCCTTGCTACCGGTTCCTACGCGCGGAGTGAGTTGGCCCATCGGTGCGGAGAGCCCATCCTCACCACTGACAGTGGTTCTGCACATTCAGCAGTGCACAATGTCCAGCGCTTTAAATGCATAGCTGCCATCACATCCCACTTTGGCCTAGCTACCACGTGACCGGGGTTAGCCGAGATGTGTAGACACTGCCTAGGGGTCCTGGGCACAGGTTGCGCCTGACTCGGAGTTCAAATCAGTCTGCTCCGCTCCTTTTTTCGCACAGCTCATGCATCCACCTTCTCCTCTGCTGCCACTCCGGCCTGTGACATGCAAAGGGCACATGCAAGGGTTTGCGGAATCAGGGAATCTGCAAGGTCGTGCTATGGTTTCGCGGAGGCACAAAGCCTTGTCTTATCAGTAAGGCCCACGCTACTGCCCCAAATCAAGCCAGATCAAGCAAGCCTCCTGCTTCGCAGCGGCCAGAACGGCATCCGGGTCCTGCAGAAGCTGCCTGGCCATAGCCCCGGGGCTTTTGAAGGCTATCCACGCGGCAGTTGGTGGTGCTGGTGGGTACAGAAGCTGGCACGTGTTGACCCAGTATAGTCCTCCGATCTTTCTGCAAGTGACGCTCTTTATTTAGGTGTGGGCGTGTGCAGGTGCAATCATGTTAAAGTTCAACCGGCTGTGTGCAAGGGTGACAAATGCGGCTCTTGCTTCAAGATGGGATGCTCTAGGGCCCCAGATTCTGAACGTAGGCTCAAGCTATGATTTCGTACAGTTGCAGATAGTTGCAGCTTGCTCAGTGCAGAAGGTGCCAAGTCCGGGCCATGCGATGCCACAATTGAAGGAGAGAACTCAAAACCGGTAGACACATGCTGCGGGTAACGCTGGCTCGGCTGCTCGGCCTCAAGGGCGTGTTTGCTACGAATCCTCTGTGTCACATGCCGGGACGACTGCATGTAGTCGACCAGCTCTCTCTGAGCCTAAGATGCAGGCGACAAGCAAGCTTACCTCCAACTACGAGAGGCACGTGGCGCTGCGCCACGCAAGCAAGTCGGCCCAACACCAGCCAAACCCTCGCGGATGTTTGGCGCACTCGCAGCTGTCCGACAAAATGCCGCAGGAGCCGCGCAATAGGTTGAGAAGCCTTTAAAAGCAACGTTTTAAATAGCCAAACTGCAAGGCACATGCCATCGCGTGCCGTAGCTAAGCTCCTGGTGAGCTCCAGGGAAGGCCAGCCGCTGACAATTGGGGGGATTCGGGTTCTGGGTGCTGGGCCAGGCGAAGATCCCCAAACCGCGCACGCAGTACTTCAACATCACAAACATATAGCTTCACATGCTGAAAGTATCGGAAAACAAGCCCGAACACGACATCCCGCAAAAGTGCAAGCGACTTAAACCTATGAATTGTATGAGTATCTATGAGTATCTCTTCTCCATGGAGTTTCATGAAGTTTCTGCCGCGGAGCTGGAGGCAGCTGTTCGGCCGAGGCCTTCATCTCCTGCAGCCTCGGAGGTTACACCAATGGTTACACCGATGCAGTGAGCAGAACACTCCAAAAGCGCGTCGACACCATCATTCCGGTTGACCTCCTTTGACCTCCTGAGGCCAAGGCATGATCTCGACATTTATTCCCATCATGGCATAGGTCTCCTGCCGACACTCCATGGAGACTTCCTAATTCCGAGGGATTGCGAACATCGATGAACATCGTGAAGCTCCTGGCTGCTACTTTGTGCTTTACACGCGACTTGCGTCGCGGTGCTGATTGCAGTGTGTCAAAGTTGTTTCAGCACTTGACTGGCAAGACGCTCACAGTGTCACAGCCCCCGATTTCCCACAGAGCCCAGTCCCAAACTTCACACCCAGAGCTGGGTGTCCCTCCCTCCCTCATCAACCCAGACGTGTCAAGCTGTTGCCTTCATCTTCTGAACATCCTCCCGGGTCCAGCCTGGCCGGGGAAGAGGCTTGGCGTGTGTGGCTTCGGGAAGCCACCACTTTTCTTCAACTTCTTCGTCAAACCGTTCAAGCTGGCGCTCACACAGAACCTCCAAGTACATGTTCCCTGTACGCCACAGAGCCACGGCCCACAGCTTGATCTCACGTCCAAAACGCAACATCTCAAAGCCCGGCTCAGAGCCCTCAGACGCCCTCTCAAAGCATCGCACCTTGTTCTTGGGAAGCAGCCTGCAAGCAAAAAGCGGACTTGAGGTGCTACCGCTTCCCTGTCTCTGTCTTGCTTGTGCATATCCCACACAGCTTTCCGCTGCGAGCAACAACATCAGAGCTCAAAAACCAGCTCAAAATCAGCTCTGAAAGGGTTTCGTCAAGGGTGGCCTTCAGCTCCTTGAGGAAGAGCTCGGGCTGGTCGGAGAAGGCCGCCAAAGCTGTCCAAACGATCGCTCCAGAGAAGAGCAACTCCCCACTTACCCACTTGCTAGTAGAAAAACGTCCAAAAGCACATGAGAGTATGTGCCCACGGCTTTCTTCTTGAATCGACACAGACGACCCCCAAGCTTTCCCAGAGATGCAAGGAAACAGGGCGCCGAATCACTCTGAGGTTTTCCACACTTATCCGACATTCTGCAGTGTAGCTCAAGCTTGTCGAATATTGTCACATACAGACAAGAAGTGGGGCTCGGGCTCTGCATGAAGTTCGGATCCTGCTGCGCACCCTCGAAGAGCTTCTGAGCCTGACATGGTCTGCTTGAGAGAGCATGTTCAACACTGCTAGACATCTCGATGTGCAGACTGCGCTGTGCACGAAGTGCTCCATTGGCACCCCCAGCGAAATCGTTCAACTTGGCTGTTGAAGTCTTTCTCTAAACAGCTGCTTCGAAGTCCTCAACCCTGGCCTCTCGCTGTCGCTCCTCGAAAAGCTCCATTTCCTGCTTCAACTGTCCGACAGCTCTCTCACCGCTGATCCATCTCAATGCTCCCAACCGTCCAAGGCATAAACATGCAGACAGCTAAAGACGGCTACCTCCCATCATGATGGTCGAAACCGCATCAATTTTCCTCTCCAAATGATGTCTAAGGCCCCTCTAAGGCCCCTCTGGAAGGCGTACCCTTGGCCCTCCAACCCTTCTGCACCTCGGGGCTCTGCGGCACTGGCGCCGTCGGCGCCTGGGCCTTCTGTGGCTCAGCACGGCCTTCAGAGCAGAGAGGAGCTTTGCAAAGCCTTCGAGAGAAGCGCCGTGGTTCGGGGGATGCAGACAATGTGTATGTTGCACAGGATCGCGCTGTCCCAACCTTTCGCGCAGAAACGTAACCCGAGCTGAGGAACCATCTCATTGCGCGAATCCCGTTCCCAGCTCTGCCCGGGTCCCAGACCCACGAGGCCAATGTAAATCTCTCCTTCAACCTCCTCGGGTCCATGGTGAAAGAGCTGCAAAATCTTGCACCGTTTTCGACACAGGACACTCCGCCTAGAATCGTAGAACGACACAACGCGGAAGTTTCTGCCAGCTTGTAGCAACGCAGCACGTTCTAGCACTGAGCCTTTCACGTCCTCCAGCAATTCAAACTCGCTGCAGGCCTGCCATGATCTGAAGGAGCTGAAGCACCCGCTGCTCAGTTCTCTTAAGTGCCTCCTTATTACTGGTAGCTGAGTAGCCACAGCCCGAATGTCCTGAGAAGTGCGCCTGGGCCCAGACGAGCTGATCTCCGAGCGTGAGGAGGCCCGACCGTGCGAAGGTCTCCTCTACCCGGCAGCGGCTTTCGAGCGCTAGATGTCACTCTTTTCGGGCCGATGCTTAGCAGCCTGAGGTGTGCTTCACGTGCGTCCTTCAGCTCAGAGAAAGAGGCCAAGGCAAGCTCGCCGAGGCCTACGAGTCTCCGACTGATGGGCTTTGAAGTCTGGTACGCACTTCGACGTCTCTGTAATGCCCTCTTATCACTTTCACGACAGGACCGATGGGAAGCACATGGAAGCACAGATGCGATGGTCAGGTCAAGGGATCGAACTTACCAATTTTCTTCTTCTCTCTCTCTCTTTTTCTCTCTTTCTCTCTCTCTCTCTCTCTTGGGGGGGCTTCCGTGGACTTCTCTGTCTTCGCGTCCTTGCCTTCTCGGGCTTCTAAGACTTGGCGGATGTTGAGTGAAAGCCTGGCACTTCAGGCACTCCCATAACACTCCGTGCTGCATCTCACATTTCCTGTGCCAAGCAAGCATCTGGGAGTGTGGGATCGTGTGGGTTTTCGGGATGTTTTGGGGCACCCGCCTGGCCAGATTCATGCTGCGCGCTGCAGAACCCTTCTCCTGGACAACGCCTGGACGTGTGTCTGCGTTTTTCGTAAGCTTGACGACAGGCTCATCCGTGAACTTCTCATGCTTTGCTGACATTAAGATTCGGACCTCGAGCTTCTTTCTCCAGCTGATACGCCTCTGACTTCTTCAGTTCTTCCCTCGGCTCAGAGCTCCGACTCACGGTGCAGTGCAGAAGAAACATACGTCGAAGAGTCAAGTGGTAGGCATGCTGGGTTTGGGTAAAGATGCCCAGACTGAAGGGTGCGGACTGCTAGGCGGAAGTCTTGCAGCGAATGATGCGAAACTATGCCAGATGAAGATGTCAGTATGATTCGGACAAAATCCGCTTACAGCACAAGCTTCTGACTGATTCTCCACGGCATCGGGGCATAACACAACAGTAGAAAACTGCGAGTCGGCTGAGTGACGCGACTCACGCAACCGTGGCAACAGTTTTGGGCCCCAGCATCTGCTTCCGGCGCGTCTCGCGATTCGGGATCATCGACTGCGGTGAATAAATGGCAGCTGCAGGTAGTAGCTACAGGCAACTGGAACGCCTCAGAACCCTTCATGTCCAGTTCAGGTGCAAGTGGAGTGGAACTCGGTGGGGCAAGACTCGCAACTTGGACCTGAATTGACCCTGGCCCAAGAGAGGCGTGCATGCTCAGCCCAATCAGGTTGGCTTGCAAAAACTTTCGTGCAACAACTAGCAGCCTTGACGCGATCGCGAGTCATGGGCGTCCTTGGCAGGTCATCGCTCAGGAGTTTGGATCTACCTCCTCTGTGCGTTGTCTGAGTGCGATACATGTCGTGTGCACTGTTAAGGCCTGTATGACATTGCGGTGCTGCTATGATGCGCATCTATCTATCTTCCAACACTCATGCCCTTCTTTCGGGTCTGTCTGTGTTGCCTGTCGACTCGCGAGTTTGCTAGTGACCATTTGACTTGTTGACCAGCCTGCTCCTTTTGTCGCATACTTTGAAAATGCTTTCTCCCCCGCTCCTTCTCCTTGATTCTCTCCCCGTGCAACAGTCTAAACCAAGCAGCAGCTTCCGCGGCTGGAACAGGAAGATGTTGTACAAAGCGTTGCGCCTGCTATCATGCGACGCCCGCGCAGTGTCCACGATGTCTACAAAAGAGGCCTGATCTTCGACATCATCTTCAGGAAGACCTGGTAGCCCTGCAAGTAACAAAAGTAACAAAAAAATGAATCTCACTCCAGCAGGGACAGCATGCCCTATCATGCCTGCAACAATTTGGGAACCAATTTGGCAAACAGCAAACAGTATGGGAGATCCACACCTCGAGCTTGTACTCGGTCAGCGGGTTTTTCTGACCTCAAAAAAATGTTTGACAACTTCCAGGGCAACGAAACACATGAGACGCTCCAGCCCTTCCGACTTCGCGCCTGCAAGACTCAAACGTATGTACGTATGCTGACAGCCTTCTGTGAGCACCAGCATGAAAGCAAAAGAACATGCTCTCATCTGATCTGCTGGGCAAGCCAAGGCCGTAGCCGTAGGCTCGCAAAGTGACGCCGGTCCTGGAAAGCTTCAGACTCAGAAAGCTTGGGTCTCAGGCGTGCCAGGCATCATTTTGGAACACAGCACGCATCTTGGAATACAACAGGCCATGCGACATCGTCGAGTCATTGTTCAATCCAAACAGAAGTTTTAAAAAGCCCAAGACCACTACAAAGGTCCCTGTGACAAGCGGGGGGAGGCTTGGCGAGAGCCGGTCCCCTTGGAAGGGGGAAATCGCATGCCCTGTGCGGCTCTTCGTGCGCATCAAGTCATCAGGCTCAATGGCTGTAAGGCTGCAGGGTTTGGATGTGCCGGAAATGAAAGGCCATGGAAGCCAGTGCCACAAACGAAGCCCTGAAGACCATCGAGGCTATAGATAGACACCAGAATGAGCAACTCTGAGAAACCACATGGAAGATCAAAGGTGTCAAACTTTGGCGCTCGCTCTCTCCCTCTCCCTCTCTCTCTTCTTCTTCTTCTTCTTCTTCTTCTTCTTCTTCTTCTTCTTCTGCTGGGCTTGAGGGAGTGCAGCCGCCCTCCCCCCCTCTCCCCCTCTCCCCCTCTCTCCCCCTCTCTCTCTCTCTCTCTCTCTCTCTCTCTCTCTCTCTCTCTCTCTCTTTTTTCGATTTTAACCACTTTTTTGTGTGTTCTGCGAGGCCTAGGAATGGTATGGGGCTGCACTCCATTCATTCTATGGGAAAGCTGAAAAATATCAGCCGGCTTTCACAAAATGCTTTGCTACAGATGGGAAGGTTGCTTGTTGAGTGGCTGAGTAAGACTGCTTTTACGACCTCAGGACCCCTGCACTTTTCTAGCGGCTCCCGACAACCACTGAGCTCCGGACTTCATAAAATCCATGTTCTTCAGGTGCTGCTGCCAGAACTGGTCCAGCCTGACTGCTAATCAATCTACAAACCTCAACTTCGGACCGGCCCGAAACCCTCAGCCCTTCTTCCTCCTCGCGCTCTGGTCAACCCTACAGTTGAAGTAGAAACGGCTGCTGGGCTGTACTACTTCAGTAGCTGTACAGGTCAGACTTTTGCCTGTTTGCTGAACTCGGTACTCTTTTAGGTGCACGCAGATGCAACACCTGAACTCCCACACCCGCACAAAGGTGCAGGCTGCATTAGCAGCACTTGCCGTGTGACCATCGCTGTCAGTCCTGGCCTCGCGAGAACTCAGGGAAAACTCAGGTCACTGTTGGCACAATCTTGGCACGGACTGCAGTGGTAAGGACTGCACGGGCACAACGTGTCTGACTTTTTTCTCCAGTGTCTCCATTTTGGGCATCTGCAGCTGAGTACTTCCACCGAAAAGCACCGACTCAGGTCCGCACCCAGTGGACTCGATCTCTTCCAGCTTCCGGGTGAAAGCCTTTTGCCTTAGATCGAATTCTCTTTTGCTCTAAGCACTCTCAGTGGAGGCCTGGCCTCAGGGCGACATTCATGCGATGTTTTGCTTCCCTTCCTTTCCCAAAACATCTGGGGTCCCCGGCGCTTCGCCCTGCAAGAAAGCGGTGACGGCCGCAGCCTTTGCGTCGCGTGTGACTGAAACAAGGAAGCCAAGATTGATGCGAAAGCGGGGAGACGTCTGTGTTGCTCTTTAGAAGGGTGCTCTGGTCACTGTTGTCGCTGAGGCCATGTCTCCTGCAGGTCCGCCACTGCCGGCCTTCTCCTTCAGCATCTCTGGCCTTTTTGGCTCTTCTTTTGGCTCTTTGGCTATGCTGACCAGCCTACTGCTAGCGGGACGGTTAACTCTGCTGGTGAGAGCGCGATTCTCAGCTCTTTACGCTTACAGCGGCTACAGCGGAGTGGGGAACCAGCGAGCTCGTTTTTCTCTCACAGGTGGTTTTATCGGTGTCTTATCGGTGTTTTTTTAGCGTTTGGCGAAATGATTGTTTTTGTCAGCTTGTTCTCAGAGGGCTGTACGGTTTTTAAGCGTGCCAGCATCTAAATTCGCTGCACTGCATCAGTGTTGGCATCAACTTGGTGCTCACCTAAGCTCTCTCTTGTTCCAGCCGGTTCCTTTTGATCCTGATGCGGTCGTGGTCTGCGAGTCCGTGGCCTGTACACAGCCTGTACACAGTCAAGTCAGGAGGTGATGTCCGCACGTGACAACCAGAACAAGTCTGTCCAGTGGCAGACTAAGCTTGCACGAGGCACGATTGCGGACGTCCGACCCTAACTTGAAACATTGGACCTTGCAACAACCTTGGTTTAAAGAGCTGTGACCATTGCTTTTCTGAAAGTTCACAGTGAACAGCAACTCATACACATCAGCTTTGGCTAGAATCGCATCCGCAATATGGGCCCGCTGGAGTAGCACATCTCGTGCGAGAAGACTACTGCGGCCTGAGCCCTGGAAAAGCGCGCGGTATTCCAGCAGCTGCTTCTTTGTCGAGCTTCGCGGAAGGTAGGCTGAATACTTAGGATCTTAAGTTTTTAAAGCTCTGCCTGGTGCCCGACTCATGGCTCCTCGGCCTGTGTCTGCTGAAGATTTTCGCAGTATTTCGCACTCAATGCACAAATCCGACATGCAGCTCCGACATGCCCTAATGTCCCCTGAAAGGAGCAAACACTTCTGAGATGCGCATCTGCAAGAACAAAGGGTGTTGTTGCAACCTCCCGGCTTACTACAGGTCGAACCTAGACCGTCTTTCCCTGCCTGCCTAGTTTCATGCTGGCCGACATCACTTTCCCAAGTCCCAGCAACGTGTCGTGACCCGGCTGGCCTTCTGCGACTTCATCTCGCGGAGGGTCTTCCTGCACTGATCCCGCGCCTGCAAATGGAGCTACAGAACGTGCAAGGAGTGGAGCAAGTCTTAGCGTGCTTCTTGCGCACTGCCAGCCGCTAGCAAGCTGGGCCGGCTTTTTTCTTGCATACATGATTCTAAACATCCTTGCAGGCTGACGAGAGCATCAACATGGCCTGCTCAAGGACTGAGCTATCAGTAACATAATGACACATATTCCGTGCCAAAAACAAAAACAAGGTCGAAGCGGAAGAAGACATGCTCGGAATTTGAATGACAAGAGGGCCAGGCCCGGACCCCGGTTTCGACAGAGGGGACTGGGCTGAAACCATCTCCGGAACTGTGCAAAAACCGTGTGCCCATGGGCGAAATGACCAGCGCCCAACCCTAAGTGGATTTACGAACCTGGGGGGGGGGGAAGGTCACTGAGGCGGATGTGGGCAGCTACTGCCGCACCGGCCGGAGACATGTCTGCACTGGCAGGTTCGGACGCCGGACAACGGCACGGCGATGCGGGTCGTCAGTATGGCAATGCTCCCGAAAACCTCCTGGCATAGGCTGACAGCGCAGCCATCCTCAACCGAAGCAATGGACTCCCATGCCCTGTGCAGAGCAGCGAGCACAAGAGACTTAAAGAAAATGCTGGCAAGGTTGCTGTAAGAGGCCGTTTCCAGATGACATCTGCACAGAGCAATTAGTGGCCTCACCAACGGCCTGGAAGGATTCCAGTGACCCGCCCGGACCCGTCGAAGGCGACCCACTGGACCACGAGAGTCAAGGAGACGAGAAGGACATGCCAAAGAGCCAAAGAGCGTAGGAGAAAGCACGGGACACCGGTGACTCTTAGGGAAAGGTGCTCCACCGAAGACATCGTCTCAGCCTCTAGGGAAAAATCGGCATTGGTCAGGTGCTGGTCAAGTTTCTTGGAGGGGATGGCGAGCAACACCCTGCCCAGCGACAGGCTCTGCGCACGCTCGGCAGCGGCACGGCCAGCCATGGATCTGGGATCTCCCTTGCAAAATGGGGGTCTCGGGCAGTCTTGGGTGCACTTTCTGTTGTCACCAACCTGTGTACCTTTTTCAGGAGTCGGAGAACAGGTTCAATTACCCGGACATGTTAAGACATGGGTGGTACTAGCACTCATCGGGTTGGGAGAGCATAAGTGCCATCCGCCCACTACGGGAAGCCAAGTCTAGCCCGGACAAAGAGAATCTGCGGCTAGCGATTGGCGATGGATGCTGCAGCCTGATGACAGCACTATGGCAGTGGCGGTGAACAGACAGGTTCCTGAATCTGTGCCCGCTTGTACCAAATTGTACCCTTGCGCCTTTTGCTCGTAGACACGCTTCCTCCTCGTCGCGTGTCCTCTGTGGTGCCGCGTGCAATCTTCTCTGAAGTGCTCTCGACTGCTTCTTCCCTGTCTTGCAAGTGTAGATAAGTGTATATAAGTGTATCAGGTGCAGCCCAGCAGCTGCACGACAGTGGTGTTGGGGGCAGGTACGCCACCTGGCCTGAGAGGCGTGGGCATGACGCATAATGGCACTAATGACACCGACGAACTAATCCGGAGTACAGCTGAGGGCTCAATAATGCTCAATACTTCAAATCGTTTGGGATGTGGGAATCATATGGAATCATACGGAGACCATCCCCTAGTCGGAGCCAATGCAAACTCTACTGAGCTTGCGGCTCGTGCGCACATGGTAGACCTGGTGCGTTCCTGGCAGTAACATGCAGTCAGTGTCCACGGCTCCACGACTGCTTTCTCTTTCTCTGAAAAGAGAGCCTTTCGCGATCGTACCCGTGTTGCACTGCACCTGCAAGGCCGGTCACTCCCTGGATCAAAGAGAGACACAGAAAGCCTCTTCACAACCCCACCTGATTGGGATTGTAGCTTGCCGCCGCTTTCTTTGGCGCCCAGTTGCCCAAGACTTGGACTGCAGCTGTGCCTGCCCAGGCTCCCAGTGGTCCAGCTCGCAAAACGCCATATCTAGACGTAACTAGGGTGGAAGAGTAGCTTGACAGTCCGAGTCTCATTACGAAGGCTGCGCTTTCTACGCCCATGATGTTTTAAGTGGATTCGTGGCAGGCAACTTTGCAGCTCGCCTGCAGCAGCTGGAGGTGCAGCTGTATATCGCCTGAGGAAAAGATGTCAGGTGCTGACCATGTCGGAGGGAGCAGAAAACAACATCATTAGTAACAAGAACTCACAATTTCTCTTCCTGCAAATCCGAATGGAAGATGATGGGTTGGTAAGTTATGCAACAGTCTATGCTCTTTACCGAGAAACCCTGTGAGCAACCTGCGCAGACCAAGAAGCGAAAAAAACGATCTCATTCAATCTATCTGTTTCCATTTCTCATGCTCCCGTTTCAACTCACAGCCATGACGTGTGTTCTTCAGCAGTCATATCACTGGAGCTGGAACTACAGTCTTTTGCCTTAGTCTCCAAGTCTCGGATTCAGGTCGGTTTGTTGAACATGTACAAGCTGATAATGGAGTTCTCCATGTCCAGCTTTCACCAGGACACCGGTGCTGAAAGCCAGCGGCCGAGGCCTTCGCAAAAGGAGCCCCATACACAATATGTTGGTCCATGTCTTGCAGGCATGCTTACAACTGCAGAAAGTGCATGTGACAACTTAGTCCTTCGCGAAGCCATTAAAGCTTCTCCATTTGTGGGAAACCCTTCAAGCGACGTGCTCCACCAACAGGGCTTGGCTGCCTGCAACAACGGAACGACGCGCCGCTCATCGAAGACGACGACGGCGTCCCCCACGTGCCTGGGGGCTTTGCAGGGAAAGGCTATTGGGCGGTGGCACAAAAGACGCGGGACGACCCGCGGGGTGGCTCGGAACCCAGCGCCTCAAGAAACTTTATGAAACGGTTGCTCGGTTTCGACAGCTATCTCCTGAACCTCACTATTCAGAAACCTTCACCATCATTCCCCACCCTTCCCCGAAATAGCAGTCAAGCAGCTTGATGGCATGTGACTCAGCTTTGACTGCATATCCGGCATATCCGACCAGATTCCTGCACAATTCGCCACGCACACCCGGAGCAAAGACTTCCTACGTACTTCGGACCAGTTTGTGGGGTAAACTTGGGTGCCATCAGCTGTACTTCGTCTTTGCCGGGCTTACCAACAATCTTGGATGGTAATCTCTGCATTTGTTACTCATCGTTGCTTTGAATTGACTGCGAGCAAACCCGAGAACCTCAATCCGAGCAAACCTCACAGAACGTCCGACTCTCCAAGCTGGCTCCTGTTTTGTGCAACGGCTCGGGAATCGTCTAGGACACCACCTGCACACAGCACGCCCGGGGGGGGGGATACCATGCCTAAGGGAACTGTTGACACGTGTAACACGGCGACACAGAACCATCTACTGGCATGAAGTGCTCTGCAATAAAACACGGGCGCAGCAAGCATGCTTATAAATCTGAAGCCTTGCACAACGACAACGCTCGGACACTTTGGCTCACTTTGCACACTGGCCCTCTGAGCCTCTGAGCCTCTGAGCCTCTGAGCCTCTGAGTCTCTAAGTCTCTGGCAGACGAGCATCTTGGGATCACTGCAGAAGCCTGCCGAGAGCCTGCACGCACTCTCATCAGATCTCTCACGCGTCACCTCGCCGACGCAGATGTCAGGCCAAAGCTCTTAGAAACGCAAGCTGACTCTGCCCAGTGAACTGGGAGACGCTGTCAATGCTGAAGCATGTCAACCATTGATCATTGTCACACATGGTAAGATACGCTCGGTCAATGCACGCGCACGACCATATGGTCCTTTCTCAGAATTCTGGTCCATCTTGGGTACCCTAAACACGAGGGGCCGCCTTACTTATTGGGGCATCTCGTGAGATCGAGCCTGGGATTCTCGAGGGTCGCGGTATAAATCCCCTTGCCATGCACGGAGCCGTTGACCACTTTGAGCTCGTTGCCCCCTCAGAGCAGGGTTCTTCTCCCTTCTTTTAGAACCTTCAAGTAGGAGGGTTTCGGGAGGGCTTTCCAGCAACCCCCCAGGTACATATCGAAGGATGCATCTGGAAGTGCAAGACAACCATGAAGAATCCTAAGCCTGAGTTCCGCTTCGCTATTTCCATCTGCAGGAAAGTCGCGGCCGGGAATCAGCAACCCACGCGAGCAGATCGAGCTATAGTTCCTGCGTGACTCGAAAAGTTCCCCGCACGCTTGGTGCGTCAGCTGGTGGACGCTTGATTTGATTCCCGGACCAAGCATAACAGTCTCAATGTGAAGCCGGTCGGTGAAGGCACGACCCTGTCCCAGCGAGGTTGAAGCCCAAAGCTCGCTATATGTAGGCATGTAGAAATATATATATATATATATGTATATATATATTTGTATGTATATATATATATATATATATATGTGTGTGTGTGTGTGTGTGTGTGTGTGTGTGTGTGTGTGTGTGTGTGTGTGTGTGTGTGTGTGTGTGTGTGTGGGTGTGTGTGTGTGTGTGGGTGGGTGTGGGTGTGTGTGTGTGTGTGTGTGTATGTGTGTGTGTGTGTGTGTGCGTGTGTGCGTGTGTGCGTGTGTGCGCGTGTGTACCTTTATATGCAGCAGTCCTCTCAACCCCTGCTAAACAGCAAAATATATTCATCCACCACGGCCCCGAAATAAAGGGCCGACCCTACCTGCTTTAGGGAGACAAGATTCTTGGAGTGAGCTCAACATAACTGGCCAAGAGGCGAAGCATTCGAGCCGTGGAACGTTGGGCGAAGTTGATAGCCCTCGGACCTCCCATACAACGTTTGACATCTGGACATCCGTGGCCATGTGCGATCACGAGGCTTTTGGACATTGACCAGCACTAACTTCAGGGAAGATAAGACAGAGTAAGACAGCCTGCAAGGTGAATTCCGCAAGCATGAGATATTCGAAGGCAAAGCTTAACTTGGACATGAACACTTGCCAGGCCCAAGGGCATTGCATCCAGAAATCGTTGCTGAGCTGGGCGGCCCACCTGCAGTCTCAAGACAGTGAGTCTTAGAATCTGAGACTCTTCGGCTTTCAGCGAACCTTCGGCTCTTTACCAGGTTCCAGTCCACAGAACTTTACTCTGGCAAGTTTTAGAAGCGCTACGAGCGGCTGCGAGTGCCACAACTCCAGTTTGGGCCTCGGCACGGTTGATGGTGATCGGCCCATGGAAAACCTCGGAGAGCCGCTCCTCCGCACCGACTCCAAGCCAGGCAGTTGCTCAAGAGGGGGGGCAGGGGGGGGGAGGTCGCGGATCGCGCAGGGCTTGCTGCAGTTAGTGGCAAAAGCAATCCATATGGATGTGTGGAGTTGTGTACTGCAATGATTGAAAAATGTCCCCGTGCCTTGATCTGCTGCCCATGGGTCCTGCTCAGGGAGCAGTGACACCACCCTGTCTTACAACCCATCCTGACACCTGGGGTGAGCATTAACTTCGGGTACTTTCTAGCTGCGTGCTGCCTCGACAGTATCATACTCGGACATATGCACACGGCATCACTACTTCCAGAGCATCTTCGTGCAACACTGAGCCGACTGAGCCTTGAAGTTCTATACCAGGAAAGAAAGTCAGAGTTCATCAGAGTTCGATGCATGTGCCGAATGAAGACAGTCCTCATGAACTGATCTTGCACCTGCTTGAAGCCACCTTGCCCCCCAGATCCGTTCTCATTTGCCACGGACGTAAGAGCCTTGTCCTGCAAACAGCACAAGGAGAGACCCAGCTTAGAAGCGCGCAGATACCAAGAACTAGCACCCCACGCACTGCCCAACAACACAGTGTCTGAACTATTCCAAACGCTGATATCCGACACGACCCGTCGATCCAAAACTAAATCGTAGTGGAGCTGTGAATGCCTTTACAACCTTTCACTAGTGACCTCTCTTCTCCTATACTCCCCTTAGAACCTTAATAAAAACAGTATGTTTAATAATTCCCCAGGAGGATATAGTCTCCGGCCTCCTCGATTTCTTTTGCGAAGGGATGCTGCAGCTCCCAAGGCTTCGGGACCCGACGCTGGATGAGGGCCTCGAAAGTGGCTTGCTCGGGAAAAACAGGTGAGGAAATTCAAATAGCGACAGAAATGACAGGAACCATAGAAGCCACGCAAAAGCTCTGGAAAAAACAGCGGACGATTCGGTGTATCGGAGATGGTTCAGGCGAATTGCAGGCCGTCCTCCAACTTGGCTATTTGTTGGGCCGGACGTGGGTTCGGATCGCTCTCTGATTTCCCTGCCTGTTGTCTGATCAGTGCTTCTAGATTTCCGGGTTTGTTTTCTGGTTGCGTCTACGTTCATGTTCTGGGCGTAGCCCTGGCTGGAAAAGACACGGACGCCCCGAAGGCAGCCATCGGCCCACGATGGGAAGGAGCCCACAAGAAAGAAGGCAGATAATCCCGACATCATCCTGATATCCTTAAGCACTTTGTTTACCCGAAGGATCCCGAAAGTGGCTGTCTTGCCGGCGCGGTTGCCAGACGAACCGATTCTTTTTGATAGGTGTGGGAGACATCATTAAAAGCAATGCTAGTGTGTCTCAGGATGTCAGAACTTGCTGCTTTCGGCATTCCACTCTAAGGGTCAGGCAAGCTCATTCACGTCGAGCACTTCCCGTCTGTTTGCTCGGTATCTCAGAGATGCAGCGAAACCATCCCTCGTGAGGCTTAGCCCATGCCCCACTTAAAGCACGCTTCGGACGGTGCACACGGAAGAGCTGACTTGCCGGAGGCACATGTGCATTTGAAATGAACGGCATGTAGCACTAGCGTGGACGGACGTGAATACTTCGGGGATCTTCAGGGGCTAGTGTTTTTGTCAGATAACGACAGGGCTTCATACAATCAGCCAAGCCGCTTGCCCTGGCGATCCTAAGAGATCGGGCCCGTAACGCTCAACTCAAGGCTGGTCAGGCCGTCCACGGCACTTCCTACATCTTTCCACTTTCTACCAGTGAGGACCAAAAGCAGGATGGGGCTCCATAAGCATGTTCACTGGCACATTGCCACCTCATGCAAAATGTTGGCCCCAAACGCTGCGAGGCACCAGGATTTCATGGCGCTCCTGTCGTCCAGGAAGGGCGTCGGTGTGCTCCACGAGCTCCTGGCACAAATCAACTCTGGCGTCAACTCACGATTCTCCACGCCTTGTGAAGCTACAATGCTGCAAGATTAGTATGGTCCCCGTAGCCACTTTGTTAATGTTAATCCTTCTGCACATGATTTGGCCTCGTTCGCTGTGAGCGCCGGCTCGCTCAGCCGCCTTGGCGGACAAAGCGAGAAAAGAAGAGAAACTGACGACATCGCCTGTGATGCGCCTTCGTACCCCAATGGTGCCAGGTGTTGAGTGTCTCTAGCGCGGTGACTGGTGCTATGCAATATTCTGCTCAAGTGTGATGGGTGATGAGTGATCCGCCGTGAGGATCCTGAAAGGCACTCTGGAGCTACGGCATCGGGTACTGCCTCACAGAGATTCGTGTGCCTAGCCTCAGGCTAGATGGTGAGTGGAGCATGAAGCGAAGCAGCAGAACATGTGCCCAGCGGCCGAGTTGTGTCGGCTGCCGCGGTCTGGGTCACGCTTTGCGGTGTCTTCGGTTTGGCCGCCCGGAAATTCCACGCCTGAGCTCGACAGCGTTCTGCAACCTTCTGCAACTTCTTCGCAGCTCTTTCGGGTTTGGGATGCAGCATGCAGCCAGCTCGAACAACTCACTGAGGGGCAACTTAATCAGCCCATGCAAAAAGCCTTAAAGCCTCAAGGGCCGGGCCTGCAGAGGGACGTAAGCCGTTCGGGCCCTTCGCTCTGCCGCGCTGATCCTTCGTTGTGTCCAGAGATTCTCTGAGGTACTTGCGAGATGTTTCGATATGCAAAGGATGTAGGACACGCATGGACATGCGGGGCTACATGGCACGTCACTTACTATCCTAAAGCGCCGGGGGGGGGCTTCTCAAAGCTTCTCAAAACCGACTCGAGAGGTGACATTTGCCGGAACTTTCTCTTTCCCCAAAAGTGCTCTCTCAGAGATGCTTACATTGCCGGTCACATGGTATTGAGAACCACATTGAACCCTATTTTGAACCTCTGTCTCGTGGCTTCCTTACATCTCCTTTTTGCTGCAGAGCGGCTCCGGGCCGGTCCCAGGCGCCGTGACCGTCCGCACCAGCGGCGTGTAGACTGACAGAGAGCAGAGAAAGAGAGCAGAAGCAGATCAGCTCGGCAATTCAAAGTTGCAGAGGGAGCTCTCTCAAAAAAGCAAACTAGGGGAGGGGGGAAGAGGGGGGGGCAAGGGGGGCAGTTTTGAGTTGAACACATCTGCGGGCACTTTGGCAAGCTGAGCAAATGTTGCATCCCGTTGCATTTTGGAGAGCACGCTGAGCCTTTGCTGAGCCCGGGGGCGGCAGCCGTGGCAGCTGGCGACTGCACAGTGGAGGCTCGTGGAAGGATGACCTCAACGAGATTTGCGCCACCGCCCGAGAAGGCTGGCACCGGACTTCACGCGTTTGGGACTCCCTTGGACCGCTTGAGCACTGAAGATCACTGAGGCACGGACTGGGCGGGCAGCCTGTGGCACTGACACTGGTGCGGGCGACGCCATCACCGGCATCCTCGGTTGCGCCCCCGTCCGCGGCGCTCCAACCTGGAACTGCATCAACTGGCGGTGGCATGGTGTGACCCATCATGGTGTGCCAGAACGGTTGTGCAAGGCCCCTTGCTCTGCGGACCAGCGAAGAGACAAGCCTTTGCAATGTTGAGACGCATGTCGATACGAGCTACATCGAGGACTCTGGTACTCGAACGAAAGGGGAGGTATGGGGAAGTGTCCACCCTCCAGGTCGGGGTGTGGACTTCGCAGGTGTCAGTATTGAAAATACAAACTTGGCAGGGCCCCAAGCAGCTCTCTTTCATACTGTGCAATCCTCCATCCTAACTCGGAACCCTGAAGAACCACTTCAAGCAAAATCAAAAACAACGCTTTCAAACATCTTAAGCGCTCCACTCCAAGACCGAGCCTGCTTTGCTCGCAGGGCGGAAGCTTTGCGCGCAGCAGTGTAGAGCTGCTTTGCCTTTGAAGGGACATAAACGGGGGGGTTGTCGCCAGCATCGTGCAGCGTTCGGCGAACCAAGCCATCTGCCGGCTGCAATACATCTGGACTAAACCCTAAACCCTAAACCCCAAACCCCAAACCCTAAACCCTCAAACCTAACTTGCTCACATGAGCAATGACTGGAAAGACCTTCATGCCAATGGCACCTTGGCACAATCCAAGTGCCAGAAGAGCTTGCACGTCGTGCAGCAGTTCCTTAGTCAAGGGGAGGGTTTATTAATATCAGAGGGACTGAGGGTTCAGGGTCGAGGGTTTGGTGTATGGGGTATGGGGTTTGGGGTTAAGGTTAGGGTTTAGGGTCCACCATCCGGATTTCCAATGCTCGGATATGCTCGGGACCCGCCTTTGCCAGCCAGGTGTCACATGCTGATCACGAAGAACCGGTATTCCGCAAGTGGAACAAGAGTACTGACATTCCTGGGTGCGGCAGAAGGGTCTAAAGAGAGAACAGCTGCAGCCGATCCGTGATTTTTCCAGCATTCCTTTCTTCTGAACTCAGTTTGCCTCGCTTACATTGCATATATTACGTTTCACTTTCGGGGCTCTAGTTCAGTCCTCCTCGCCTCGCCATGCTGGGAAGGTCTTAGGGCCGTTTTGTGGGGGTGCAGCCGACGGCGATGGCTTGCGAGAACGTTGTCGTACTTACTTCTTGCAAACCTGCCCGGGCTGAGTGTCGGTCTTGGCTTTGGGTAGTTTTGGGGGTCGAGGGTGCTGACTTGAATTGTTCAACAGCAGTTCCCTGCTGAACTCAAAAAAAACCCTGAGCCGAAGCCCTGAAAGCTTGGCGCAAGGGCGCAAGGGCAAAAAAACAGCTTCGTATTAGACACGAAAAAACCGAAAATGGCCCAAGCTGAAAAGCTGAAATCTTCAGAATAAACGCTCGGCGTCGAGATTGGGGGGTTCAGATTCCCAGAACCCTGAACCTGGTAACCTTGAACCCCAAGCCTTCCGGCCCAATCCTCAACGATTCGGTGATCTTTGGAACACATGGGGGACATTTCGGGGCCACCTACCTTAATTAGTTGAGATGAGCTCGGGCTCCAGAGGGTACGGGTTCAAGCCCGAGGTTGAAAAAAAAAACGAATTTTGTATCAGACTCATCCAACACAACCTGACTTACCTGGCTGCGCCTCCTGGCAGCTGCTGACCGCTGTCCCCGTCGATGTCGCCCACAGGCGCCGGATGTCCGGTTTAGGTTTCGGTTGAGGGTTGAAGGTCAATCCCCGGCATTCAAAGCTGGGGCTGGGGGCTCCTTTCCAGGGCCAGCGGGGACGGTGTTGGAACTGACGGAGGCTAGATTTCACCAGGGCCACCCCGCTAGCCAAGCATACCATATGCCTGGAAATATTTTGTGATGTTTTCTCAAGACATATGCAATCTTGCGAAAGTGGTCGGAACTTGGTGCAGATGGGAAAGCCACTTTCGCGACCGCTCAGAGATGCTGGGTGAGCCCTTTTGCCAAGATTCGTTCCATTTGCGACCCCATCCTTCGTGTTGGGAGGCGATGGTCACCTGAAGATCTGATAGTGCCACCACCGTGTCATGATGTGTCATGCACCTTCTAGCGGCAGCGATAAGCCAAATGATGAAAGAGGCTCCAGTCTGCAATGGCTTAGATGAGCGGCAAGTTGACGTCGACGGACAGGGAAATTGCCACCGAGAGGCTTGATGCAGCGTGCCCGCCTGACAACTGCACAAAGCTGCACAACGCTGCACGAAAGAGCATGACTAATGACTCAGCACATGCTAGCAGTGCTTGAGGCGATCCCCTTTTCATCTTAGCTAAGGAATGGAAGAGAACGAGCTTTGATAGGCCCTCCATAGTGCAACCCGAACCTTCCGATATTGACGGCTGTGCAACTATGCGCAACTCGCTCGAACCATGACACGTCCGATCCATTTGCTAGTGCCATGAGTGCAAGTCTTGTGGGCCCCTTCGCATTCAGAAAACCTCAGCAGCTATCCCCACAGATTCCAAAGCGAGTTCACATTCCAGCAGTAGACCAACCCCCTGCCTGTGTGGCACATCGTGGGCACCGGGGCCGCACTCGGCAGGCTGCTGTGGGGGGTGTCGTGACCACCGTCTTTGTGACTGGCTTCACTGCTTCCTTCGCCACCTTCTTTGGCTCTGGTGGTCTCCTTGGTATCGAGGCGCACGTAGAGAGTACGCATGACCACACTGAAGCAGCATCCGGAACTGCCGGTTTTCAGCGTGGGACCGAGTATGTGAAAGATAATTGCCCACACACAATGAGACTTCTGCAGACGGCAACCAAAGCATACCAGGCCCCAGCGTCATGTCCAGCATTTTTGGCACCTTCACAGATTGGAGTCTTGTGAGCTTCTCTTGTGCTGCTTGTCGGCAGGGCGCTTTGCCCTTACAGCTCTGTGTTGTGGATCAAGTTGTCGGGAATCAAATGCCAAATGCCAAAGCCGGCCCAACTCACTTCGCTTTGCGGCGCTCCCGGAGCCTCGTTGTAGCGGGCGAGAAGACGAGACGCCTCCTCCTGAGTCTTTAGCAACCCATGAAATGTGGCGCTCCACGTGCCTCCTGAAACTTCCTAGCCATATGTACCTCGCCAGTGCAGGGTGAGCCTCTGGAGTTCGCATTCTAAGCCCCTGACCCCTTAAATGCCAGCCACACTCAAAATCCCCAAACCGCTGAACCCAAAGAAATCCTGAATATGTGCTGTAACATCTCGTAACTCCGTGGGTCCCCACCTGCGACAGCCCCAGGCTGACGCACATCTCAGGGGCATGCCTGAGATGTTCCAAGTTTTTGACCAGAGCACATTGGAGCATCACGTGTGGTCACTCTAATTGGCACTTCGCGAAAGGAAAACGCCAGGGCATCGTCATGCATCCTCCCATACAACCCCCCACCTCCTGAACGCACTGCTTGCACGATTCGCGCGCGATGCAAGGACGGCTTTTTGAGCGGTGTTGGTGCTTCTGCATTGGGCGCAAGCAGTTGGAAAAGATCCCGGTGGCTAGCTATACAATGAAGCCTCTCTTGTCATGGCCTTTGGCAACCGGAACCAAACGCTGTGTTGCGACCTCCTTGCTCAAGAAACTTGAGGGATTGGAGAAGGACGCCGCCACCCTCGTGGCAAACGGAACCAAACGCTGTGTCGCGACCTCCCTGCTCAAGAAACTTGAAGGAATGGAGAAGGACACTGCCACCCTCGTGGATAGGCATCTGGACGATCCGCGGAGCTTATTTGCCGATCTTCTAAGTATGGTTCGACAAAGGTCTATACGGCTATGTGGGGATGCTGTGGAGAAGGTTCGTGTCATGCCCCTTAAGCCTTGGATTGCTGGGGTGCTAAGTATTCGAAGGTCGCGGTGCATGTCTAACCACGGATGTCCAGAGGAAAAGCCACGCTTGTGGGAAAAACCGGCCAATTGCCGGTGTCGCAGCTGGGAAAAACCTTTTTCAGGGGGTAGAAGTGGTGCCGGGGACCAGAGTCAGGGACTACATTGACGGAGCCGATTTCCAAACCCTAAAGAACTCCGGCAATTCCGACTGACACTGCTTGATATGGTGACCAACCAACACTCTCGTTGAAGTCTCGGACGACCCGGTGGAGTCGCCCCCGACACGCACAAAACCCCCTGCAAAATTACTAACGCAGGACGCAGCACTCCATCTCATCAGCAAGCCGTTGGTCACGGTGTTTGGCAAAATTGTAGGTCTCCTGAAACGATACAGGGATATTCAGGGCTTGAAAGCCCACAAGCCTTTAACAAAAACCAAGTTCTCAACTCTCCAATTTGTCACCCACCCTCCAGAAAAATTAGAAGGGCGACCAAAAAACCTCGAATCCCCGAAGCGTGGTCTCCTTGAACAGCGGGTGCGACGAACCGGAGAAGCTGAAGTCGTTCACGAGGTAGGAAAGAAAGAGCTTCTCCGACGTGATCCTTCAGGTTTGGGGTTGAGGGGGGTTCAGGAGCCTGATCGGCTTCAGAGAATATGGCTCAAGCGTTTCAATTTTGAGGTTGTTGAAGGCTTTCCTAGGTTCCCTCCTTCATAAAAAAAACACGAAGCTCCTAAGATGCCGAGGAACATGATGGCAGACCTCACCACGAACAAGTCCTCGGCATAACCGTCCTTGAGGCTCACCTTAGCTTCATCAGCTTGCTAGCACCTTGCGGAAGCTCGAAGCCCGGGCTCCGAGACCAACAATATCGGCTAGGACGGTTCCCCAGAAACAACTTCAGCATACATTTCATGGCATACAAGCCATAGCATGCAACATTGTATTGACCCCCGAGGCTTGGTCAATGTTGTATACTAAATTCCCATATGTATTGAAGAAGCTTTAAAGCAGGCTGTGGCCTGGTCCAGAGCACTCTGCATCGTGATCAGGTTGTAGTGGTCCAGCGGGTGTACGACTGTGGCCAAGAAGAGCGCCTCTCCGTCAATTCCTGGGAAGTCCGCCTGGTGCTTCCGGAAAAGAGACAGGAAGCGCGTCCGCACCGGAAGCAGGAAGTTCACGAAGCGGCTGTGATCCTTCAAGGGTTTGCCATCTTCGCATCTACCCAAAGAAACATTACTC